AATCAGATTATTGGTTTATTGGTGTTGATTAGTTTAAGTTCTTTATATATTTTGGATATGAGCTCCTTATTGGATATATCATTTACAAATATCTTCTTCTATACAGTAGGCTGCCTTTCTGTTTTGTTGGTGGTTTCCTCTGCTATGAAGAAGCATTTTAGTTTTATGTAGTCCAACATGTTATTTTTGCTTTTGTTTCCCTTGCCTGGAGATACATATCCAGAAAAAAATAACTATTGCTGATGTTCAAGAATTTTCTGCTAGTATATTTATGGTTTTAGGTCTTTTATACATTTTTTTGTATATGGTTTTTGTATATGGTATAAAACAGTGATCCAGTTTCATTCTTTTGCATGTAGCTGTTTAGATTTCAAACACCATTTATATATTAATTGATTTTTAATTTTTGAGCCAGCATTACATGCCTGGGAGAAATCCCACTTGGCCATGGTGTATAATTCTTTTATATGTTTTGGATTCTATTTGCTAATATCTTGTTGTTTTTTTGCTTCTGTGCTCATGATAGATATTTATCTGTAGGTTTCTTTTCTTGTAATGTCTTTGTTGTTGCTATTCAGGCAATGCTGGCCTCAGTGAATGAATTAGGAAATATTCCCTATGCTTCTATCCTCTGAAAGAGATTATAGAGAATTGGCATAATTTCTTACTTAAATGTTTGGTAGAATTAACCAGTGAACCCACCTGTACCAGGACCTTTATTTTTTGGAAGTTTACTCATTATTAGTTCAATTAAAAAATATATATATAACCTATGAGAATACATGGAAAATGCATATAGGTCACTGCTCCCAATCCATGAGAAAGAGATCCTAAAACCGTTGGAATTTCCTAAGTGATAAAAGCCTGAAGAGCATCTTTTCTTGTAGTATTTGATCTTTGACCCTGGTTCCTGAAGTCCTTGCAATTCTCTGAGTAATAGGAGGGTTTTCTGTTCTAATGAGGTGACTCTGAGTGGGCTTCTGGATGGCTCCTGGTTAAGTGCCGGCAACTGGAAAGACCAAGCCATGATTAGAAACTTAGAATGCTTAGCCCCACACCCCATTCTCTTGAGAAGGAAAATGGGCTGAAAATCGAGTTAATGATCTATCATGCCTATGGAATAAAGCACCCATAAAATCACAAAAATATGGGATTTGGAGAACTTATGGGTTGCTGAACACATGGAGGTGCCAGGAGAATGCTGCACCCACAGAGGGCATGGAAACTCTGTACCCCTTCCCACATCATATCTTTCCTTATGCATCTGGGTGGTTCATCTGTATCCTTTATCACATTCTTTTATAATAAACTGGTAAACATAAGCAAACTGATTTTCTAGGTTCTGTGAGCAACTCTAACAAATTAATTGAACCAAAGGAGGGGGTGGTTGGAACCTCTGGTCTATAGCTGGTCAGTCAGAAGCACAGGTAATGAGCCTGCAACTATTATTGAAATGTTTGTAGAGGGAGAGCTGTCTTGTGGGTCTGAGCCTTTAACCTGTGGAATCTGACACTTATGAGATAGGGTCAGAATTGAGTTAAATTGTAGGACACCCAGCTGGTATCACAGAGAATTGCTTG